TGCTTTGATGTAGGATATGTTACATAATATACTTGATGTGCTTGTGTTGATAGCATAAAGGGATTGAATATATTTGTTGTGCTATAACTATTTACTTCTACTAATCCATATTGCTCATAAACTCTTGTACCAACGTCGAGTGCGGTATCATACTAATCACATTTAAACAATACGATTTTCTTGATTAGCAAGGCAAGATTCTCAAGGACAAGGAGAGGGCGGCTATGAGTCCATAAAGGACTATAGGTTGTTGCTTCCTTATCCTCCAAGAATGAGGAGTTATTTTATATAGACTATTTGATTATTATCTTTAAAACATCCAACCTTATCCAATAAGATTGATGTTTATCTTTAAAACATTCAGCCATATCCAATAAGGTTGATGTTTATCCTCCTACCAAAATCATTTTTAAGCTTTTAATTAAATTTAATGGGCCAAAACTATTTTAGTCCAATTAATTTATTTAGATTATCCAAATAAATATTTTTTAGATTATTTTGGCAACGTCCATATTAGGAAACAATTTCTCCAAATATCCTTTAATCTAAATTAGAAAAATCCTTTCCTTTTAGGTTCTTTATTTCTAAATTTGAAACTAACTTCCAAATTAGGAAATCGATTTCTAAAATAGAAAACTTTCTATTTTGGAAACTCTTTCCAAAATAGGAAACCTTTTATAAGTAGAAACTTTTTCCAATAACTTTGCTTCTAATTTATAATTTTAATACTTAAACTTATGCATGTGACTCAATAGGCTCCTAGATATATTGACAATGTATCAAGAATAAAAGAATCCTCTTTTATCTCTTGACATATAAATAAGATTGGCTTCTAGCAAAGGCATCATGACTACCCAATTCTCGAGGAGGATTAGTTAATCCATTATTACCTCTCATGAGCATGGTTATCATATAATTCGGTCATCATGTCGACCTATCACAATGTGATCTCGAACTTGGTGATTAATCTTGTTTGATTATGATCACATAAGTTATCTTCGATTCCCAGTTGTCTTAGCTCTTAAAGTAGACCAACTATGCTCTATTAGTGTATTCCTAATATGGTCATAGATTTCTTGAGCAAAAAATTATCGAAGTGCAATGCGATAACTCTTTTAGCATATAAGGAATGACATACCCTATCTTAGTCATGTACTTATCTCCATTAGATTCCTAGTACACCCAACAAGGAGCCCACGTACAACCCATTAATGGGTCCATCGAAACATCTATCAAAGTGCATAAGTTCTTTAATGAGATAATCGTGATGACTTCAACTCGAGGACCATTTGTACCCTTCTCGTATGAGATTCCCATAGACTAAAACCAAATGGGTTCTCATGACGAGTCAAGTCCAAGTAATATATTTCCTAACATAAATCACCTAACTATTTGCTTTGCCATCACCATACCAATATGTATGAGATCTCCTAATGCTATCACATAGTATGAGTATAGCACTCGCAAGTCTATCCATATTTATCAATGTCTATTCTTGACAACTCTACGACTTAGGACATTTATTGATATCATTTATGTGCATTAGTGTTTGCCTCACATGTTTTGATCAATTATTATTGCAAATGCATATCATAAGGACTTCTATCTAATTATACTAAACATGTGAACATAAGAATTAGCAGAATGACTTTTTTTTATTATTAAAAGAAATAATGCAATGATACATTAACTCAATTTCATCAATACATGGTTGGATCTTGACACCTATACCGACGGTATTGTTACATCGCTTTTAACTACTACAACTAAGTTGAGACAATATACTCGGGAGCAATATGGGGTAATGCAACGGATGTAGTAGATGTTATTCAATATGTAGTGAGATAGTTCATCCATCGATCCTCCGACTAATGATCCCACCGATCCTTTGATTAACGACCGTGCCGATCGCTTTTAGCTTTTATGTTTTATTTTTCTTGTAATGTTTGTTTTATTAAAAAAAAAATTAAAATTATTTCGTAATTTGATTTTTTAATATATATATATATATATATATATATATATATATATATATGTATGTATATTTTATAATGATTTTGTAATATTTAAAATTCTTATGTATAGTTTTTCGGTTTTTAAATTGGAATAGCTTAATTTAAGCAAAAAGAAATTCTAGTAAATATTGAACAAAATACGGATACGGTGAAGGTTTTGTCTTGTCACTAAATTATAATTTAGTGACCCTATTTACAAACATTCGCTAATTTTGGATAATTTACGACGGTTTTAGCAATGGTTTTCTAAAATGGTTAAGAATATGACAAAAATTAGCGATTGAAATTGGCATCGATTTATTAAATAGTAGATTATTCATCAAAAAATTAAACACTACTTTCCATAAAATTAGCAATGGGAAAACCATTGCTAAATTAGCGATGGTTATTCAAAACGAGTCGTTAAAAATTTTACGAGAAGCTTTTTACTAATGGTTTTAGATCGTTGCAAAACCATCGCTAATTAATATTAGTGACGAGTTTTCAAGAATTAGCGATGATTTAAATCGTCGCTAATTCATTTATTTTGGTATTGAATTAAAAATTACTCATCATAACCACATTAACTCTATCATAGAATCAAACACAATGATGGAAAATCACCAACATTTATTGGCTCCTCCACTAACTTTAAGAGAGAAATGACATTTTTGCTCTTTTGACAATACAAGAAGCTTTCACTACTGCTTATATATATAGACTTTTGCTAAATTGCATGTAAACTAGTACATATTAGAATATAAAAGTCTTTTTAGAGCAATTCGTCATTTTTCAACCACAAAATTTGTCGTCAAAAGGTCTCCCATCCAACCAAGAGGACTTGTCTTGTAGGTACCAAACGCAAGAGAACTTTCATTCATGCTCCATGAACTATTTTCAATAACCATTGTCATTATAAACTGGATGTACAAAATTTATTAGTTAAATCGAATAAGACTCGTTAGCTAGCATCATCTATGGAAATCTAAACAAAAAGTCAATCAGATTCCTCATATCTCTGGATTTTGCTCTCCAGAATGTCTCTAGTTTCATTTATAGCAGAACAAGCAGAAGTTCCTAAATGCACCATCCCTCCACTTTGCTAGTCCCAGCACCCCCCATGTGGACATCGTCCAACTAAATTAACATATTTAGAATCTCATGTAGGCATTCTTTGTGGCTCAAGCATAAAATCAAAATGCTTGGCTCAACGCCTCAAAGGCTTGTAAGCTATCCACCTCCAAATACTCCAACACCCCCACGTAGTGAATCTTGTGTTGAAAAAGCCATATTCTCTCCTCTCATAGGCTGACCAAGCCGTTGCATGCTAGACGAGGTACATAAAGGACATGTTAGAGCTAAAAAAGGAGAACGAGGTCGTCGTGTGTCTCCCAAACCCTAAAAAAAAATTATGAACATCATTAAAAAAAGAAATAAATAAATAAATAAAAAACACAAGGGTCTCGTAGAGAAAAGGAAAAGGAGAAAAGGTCAAAATGTCACCATAACGCCAAGGAAGTGCTTAGCTTTACCAAAAGATACTAAAAAAGGCATTACCAGTGCTCTTCCTCTTACGAAACGTCACATGTAAGCCCAAATTTTTATTTTTATTTTTATAGCTTTTTGAAATTAGTATGAAAATAATTATTGTTGTAAAAAGTAATGATTCTTCAAGCAATCTTATAGAAAAAAAAAAAAGATTAATTGTCAAATTGTTTTGACAATAGTAGAGGTTTGATAATTGATCAATCTAAGATGTATAGTTTTCACAAATTTATTGATTATAACACTATACAAAATTAATAGGACACTATTTTATTTTATTTTATTTAATATCAGCAGTAACTGTAGATTAACATTCCAAAGAAGAAAGAGTCTAAGTAACAAGTATTTTGTAGCTTTTCTTTTCTTTTATGTTCAATTATTTTTATTTTCTCAATATAAATTTTTCCCAAGTTAGTAATAGTTGTTTTTGTACTTTTTATACAATCTCACTATATATATATATATATATATATATATATATATATATATATATATATATTCTTATTATTTTCATGAATTTGATTTTTTTTTTTTTGAGTTTTTTAAATATAGTAAAGAAAATAATCATTATTGTAAAAAATAATGTTTTTTCATGCAATTTTATGAAAAAAAAATATTAATTGTCAAATTGTTTTACAATAATAGAGTTTAATAATTGATAATTGATAATGAATCAACCTAAGATGTATAATAAAAAAATAAATGAAAATAACATTTAACAAACTTAATATAACACTGTTTGCTTCTTTTTTCTTTTTTTTTTAAAGTTTAAACAAAAGGAATTAATAGTTAATAATTTACCATCTTTCATTTGCTTCTTTAATTTTACTCACTTATATTTTTTAATTAAATTAATTAAAATATTAATTATAACATATTGTATAAACTTAGCTACAATAACTCGCTGGGCACTATGATAATATGTATTAAAGCCTATTGTATAAACTTTCAATTGATTTAATGAATTTTTCTCTCTCTTCGACATCTTTTACCACTACTACTACTATTATTATTATTATTATTATTATTTTATTTTATTTTGCACGCGGCATCTCTTTATTGTTTCTTTCTCTAAATTCAACTTAATATACATACATATTTATATATTCCTAATTCGACTTAGCATGTGCAAAAAGATTCCACCATCTCAAAAAAATCCAAAGCGGTCGGGGACTGGTCTTAGTGACTGATAGACAGAGTCATATGATGTGGGGACACTGTTCGCCAATCTTAACGAGTAAAATGTGGATAAGATCATATAAATAATGCCTTACATATCGGAAACAAAAAATGATGAAAAAAAACATCACATATCTTAGCAATCTCATTCTACTTAAAAAAATAGTTTTATGCTGATGCCTAATACGGTAAAGTTAGAAAAGGGCCATAAATTATTGGTCACTAAATTACAATCATCCCATCAACAACCCAACTTCAACTTTGTCTTGTAAAATACCAGTTATGGAGGATGCCAGTACAGAGACGATTGATTTTTCATCCCTACCAAAAGAAAAATTCCGTGGAGATGACTATTTATGGCAATGGAAGGGCTTTTGGTTTAGGCAACCATTTCTGCAAGCAGCCCAAGATGTTTTGAATCACTACAAACCCCTTCCCACAGATACAGTCTTAGCTTCTTACCCCAAAACGGGTACAACATGGCTCAAAGCTTTGCTATATTCCATCATCAATCGCTCTTCAAGAAATTCCATCCTCACCAACCATCCCCATATGCTTGTTCCCACATTAGAAATGCAACTATATGGGCCAAAAACAGGGTCTTTTGATTCTTTTGCTGGCACCGCTAATTCCTCTGCCAGGATTTTGGCTACCCATCTGCCTTACCAGGTCTTTTCCGGCACGATCAATTCAACAGATTGTCGGGTTGTTTACATCACAAGAAATCCGAAGGACACCTTGGTATCATCATGGCATTTTTATCCGAAATCAAAGGAGGTTAAAGATCCATGGTCTCTAGAGGATGCAGTGGAGAAGTTCAGTAAAGGTATTGCCAACTGTGGACCTTATTATGATCACGTTTTAGGGTACTGGAAAGAGAGCTTGGAGAGGCCTAACAAAGTCTTCTTCATCACTTATGAAGAACTGAAAAGTGAAACCAAGATTCATGTCAAGAGGTTGGCTGAGTTCTTGGGGTGTCCATTTGATGATGGTGACGGCAAAGAAGAGGATGCAGTTCTGGATGACATTGTTAGCAATTGCAGCTTTGAGAAACTGAGCAACTATGAGGCCAATAAATCTGATGATGGCCATGTAGGCTGGCTTAAGTTCCCACTGAGTGCTTTCTTTAGACAAGGAGGGATGGGGGATCATAAAAATTATTTGACTACAGAGATGATAGAGCATATCGACAAAATTACAGAAGAAAAATTTCATGCGTCTGGTTTTTTGTATGGGATTTAGCAACTTAATTGTTGGAATTTAACTTTAGTGACTTTGATGATCCAATGTCACTTGTACTGTTGTTTTCTATGAAAGCTATGTTTTGTTAAAGACTGAATTATTTGCAGGGGTCCTTTTGCAGGAAAATATTATCCTGCAGAAAACATTTTTAAGAAATAAATTTTATCTTCATATGTAGATGCATGATATTTCTTTTAAAGCTAATTAACTCTTTTCTTATTTATTTCCATAATAATACTTAATTTCTTGTATTATTTTGTATGGATTCTCAGATCAGAAAATATCCAAGTGGAATCAGCAAAGATTGAGGCTCAATAGGAATTTGAAGTCCACAAAGATTGACCAAAGATATTTGGCAGGCTTCATGTTAATCTTTGAGTTAGTGAGATGCATTGAGAGATTCTGATTAGGTTCAAAGCAGGATCCCATAAAGTTATTTTAAATGAGCTTAAACGTCTTGTGACACTATATAAATATAATTATGAATCCATTTGGAAACATGACGATAGGCTAGTCTTCTATATGCAAAACACTTAATTGTAACACTTTCGACCTAAGATCTAAATAAATCGAGAATATTATCGATATTAATTTATATTTGGAGTGCAATAAATATAAGACAATATGCCTCATTCCTTAATATTTCTAAAATACTAGCAAAATGATAGTTTTTGTACAATGTCCCTAATAAATAAGAAATAATAGGTCCAAATTACTTAAAAGCCTAGGTATAAATTTTTTTTTGAAAATTCCACTAAAATCAATAAATATTCCTATGTGTAGAAATTTTAAATGTCATAGTTTGGTCAAAAACTTGTATTCTTGGATTCCAATTTAACCATTTAAATAAAATTCTTTATATTATAATAAATAGTACTATGTGTCTTAATTTTCTCAAATTCTTTCTAGAAATTCATATTTAAATTAAAATAGAAATATCTAATTTGCAAATATTCTATAAAATATTTTAAGATTATTCTACATTATTTTCATTTCAAAACTTATTTAATTAAAGTATAATTAATTTAATTAAAATTCCATAGGCTAGAAATCCATTTAATTAATTCAATTAAGCACTTCATAAATTCATTTAGAACTTTAATTAGAGTTTTGATCATTCAAAATATTTTTTGGACTTATGGAACCTTGGTTAATGCTTTTGTAAATACATTTTTTGCCTTATCATTTTAATTCCATACTTTTGACCATTAAGATTTTAGATTTTAAACCACTTAACGATTTAGTTAATGCTTTTATTTAATCTCTAATTAATTGTTTTTACTTGGTCTTGTAATTCATTTAACCCAATCCGATTAACCAAGTAACCAATCTATTCTTCAAGTTAATTAATTAGGTAATGCATAACATAAAAGTACTATTAGCTATCCAAACACATTATTCATTATTACACACCAAAATTTGCTAGGCAAAGGTAAGTTTTCCTCACACATTTTATAAACTAAGCACATAACATGGCAAGTCAAAGCATGATCTCGACGACTATCCTCATTTATCTTTCTTTTCACCTATATCATAAAAAACAAAGATGAGCAATGCTTAAGAAGTATAATCCATGTGATGCATGTAGTGGTCTTTATGCCTATAATGCAAGTGATGCATTTTAAAAATCATTTTCATGCATTTTAAAATTTATTTTTCTCTTTGGGTATACCCTACCGATTGTGTATACAATGGACCCTCTTTTAAAACATATAATTTGTGAAAAAACACAAAAAGCACTAGACACCTTTCTGACCTAAGACTTATATGGGGCGAAAGTATTATCGATGTTGACTTACATTCGAAGGCAATGAATATAAGTCAATAAACCTCCTTCCTTAATATTTTCTTTGATTCTTTGGGCCATAAAATCAACCGCATAGAATAGCAAAAAAACGTAAAATTCTTAAAAAATGCTGCTGGATGAACAATGTTCTTTTTTAATTAGGAAAAAATTTCTACAATTTCGTCCTTGTGGTTATTTGTTTGTTTCATTATGGTTTAATACAAAAAGATATTTTCAATCAAGTCCCTCTTTCTCAAATTTTTTGATGATACCTGATTTATTAACTTAATTTAATATAATTCTTGATTACTTTGGGTTAATAAATTAGTCAATTGGAACTTAACTAAACAACAAATAACATAATAAGGGCTAAATCAAAACAATATTTGGAATAAGAACTATTCTTTTCATTCACAATTTGGATATGTGTCTGGCATGATAAAAATCTGAAATTTTAGTATGTTGTAAATAAGAAAGTTTCCTAATTATGTACCAAATTGTAGAATTTCTTAAGAATATTTAAGTGTTCATTTGAATTTTTTTTTTTAATGCTACACAATCATTTTTTTTTTTTGGGTAAATTTAATTAATATTTTTTTTCATTTATTTAGAATCGATATTCACATCTCAAATATTTATGATAATCTTAATTTTAATTAATTATGATACCCTAGAGTACTATATTACTCTAAATTTGAATGAGAATAAAATTTAATGACACTCAACATTAAAACAAAATAAACGTAGATGATTTAAATTCTATTATTTTGTTTCTAAGATGATAATCACGTTAGAACTTTAATTGAATTCGATGTTAAATTGATATAATTGTTAATTTTAGGATACAATGTTAATTTAACAAGATTCCTTTATAAAATTTAATCTATTTATTAGGTTTAAAATTATTGATTAGGTCATGGCATGATAATTGTGGCGGGACTATAATAGGATCTAATGCTAAATTGACATAATTCTCTATTTTGGCATCGACAATAATTTTATATGATTTTACTATAAATCATAATCAATTTAGTCTTCCATAAACTGACTAATTAGACCAAATTGATAAAATTATTTGAAGTAAACAATAAACTCAAAAATAGGCTTATAAATATTGGTAAAAAATATCTTAGGAAATGATTTAGGAGTAGAACAAGTTAGGTAACCTTTCTTAAGAAATGATGTTTTTATGTGATTGGTATCTTTTCAATAAACATAATCAACTATTTATTCATTATATGTAACGTACCACTAATTTAGAATTCCTATTCTCCTTAAAGTACTAGGTGGCAACTCATCATCTCTTAACTCTTTTTAAATGGGAGGTCCCATATGTTGAGTAGCTGATAGCATATCAACTCCACTAAAGATTTAGAACTAAGCCATACACTTGTTTTGTTCTAAAATTATATTCTTTAATTATTTATGAAATTTTGTTTTCAAAGGATTTATTTTCGAATAATTTGTTTACTTTTAAGTCTTTTATTTTTTTATTTATTACTTATAAATTGGATTGGGTGTGCATGTTTACATATAAAGCTTCACACACTTACTAAAAAGCCAACAAAAAGCTCAAGTCCTAAGCTTTATCCCTTTAAGATTAGATAGGATGATTTAGAGGAAGACGTGATCAAAGTTCACTCATGCTCATCTAGATTTTCACTCAAATTAGAACTCATTCATATATAAAAGATTGTGAAATATTTTCCCATATCTCCCATCGCATAAGGTATGAGGCTAGATTATTCTATTGTTAATCCAAACAATCTAAGAACTTGAAAAAAAAAAACTACTCGGATTAAACAAAACTAAGACAAACCCGATAGAAAACTAGATTTTTTCTATCGTGTATGGAACCCATATAAAACTCAAACTATATATGTCAAGTCGCATGTCTTACCCTTTTCATTTTTGCCACAATTCCTCACACGATGTGTGAACCATAATGGGAAATACTTTTACTATTGAGGAATTTAGGATTAGGTCATAGTAGGCTCAAAAGGGGAGTAGGATCATAGTAGGCTCAAAAGGGGGAGTAGGATTGCCTATAACCAATTTGACAAAGTCAAGGGTAGGCATGTTTCCCTAACTCGCCGAAGTCTCTGTATGTTTAGACCCTTAATGAGAACTTAAAATTTGACTTAGCCCATCCTTATCTAAAGAACTATCATTGTTCAAAACTCTAACATTAAGCATGCATAGTCAATCTAGTTTGTTGGGCCAATATCTTTTTATGGTATATACCATTTAAAAACAACAAGAAGAAAGGAACATAGATTGTACTCAATGAAAGCTCAACTCTTCGAAAGAATCTTCTACATCAAACCTTAATAAAAATGCATAAATAGAATAGAGTTTGAGGCAAGCAAAATCTTAAACAAGAAGTAAATGATTTGACAAATGAAGTATCACACTTATTTGGTTTAGAACAATCCATTTTTAAAATGATAATTTTTTCCTCCCTCCCACAACATGGACCCCATCGCAAATTTCTCTCTACTTACATACTCCCCCTTAGTATCCACTCATTTAAAAGGAACTTCTACTATTTCTCAATCAAATTCTCAACTCCCATAAGCTTTGTAGTCCTATGCAGCATCTTCTCAACATTTTTGGACGCAAATGAAGATTCTTACTAACCTTTTCCAGGATAATGAAGAAGTTAAAGAAGGAAAAAAAAGTTATGGTAGTTGAGTCAAATCAATTTTTTTGATACCGAGAAAGATTTAAGAATAAAAGAGGTGTGTACTTAACAAACATTAATGAACCAATTCTAGAAGAAGACAATTATAGCTAGACCAATATATTGTCAAAGAAGAGCAATGTTAGTGTCAAGACACTTTCGAGCAGTAACGTACCTTCGAGGTATGAGAAAAAAAAAGATGATGATTCTATAAAGCGATATTCTAAGAGATGATAAGTAATTGTTACTTGAATGCTTACCTTTGACTTAGTTAGAAATTATTGATATCATTGTTTGTACTCTTGGATCCTTATACCACGAGTATTTGAAAGATTACACCTTATTTCAGTTTGATGATCTCGTGAATATGGCTAGAAATATTGAATATGAAATAGCTTTAAGAAAGACTAAATATATAACAAGTGTTCTTAAAGGCATGAGTTTTTTTATAATGATTTGAAGATGAAGCATAATATCGATAACAATCATTAGAGAGCTTGTAAACAAGTTTCTAAAAGAGAAAGAAAGTTT